GAACAGGTTCTTCTCTCAATGTGCTGGCTAAAATAAGCCAGGAAGACTGGGGGCCAGCCCCCGGGGCCCTGATGAATTCACCGAGGTGATGAAATGTTACTTCTGGAAGCCTCTTGGGTGAGGACACCCCTGGACATCACTTCACTGTCCATGAAAACTCAAGCCCAACTTGATTGCTTCTATATTTTACAGAGGTCAAGTAATAACACGAGCAACAAAGTATGGATCAGCAAAATGGCCAACCACACATTCTCCAAGAGCTGAGCTCTAAAGGAACATATCTATTGTCCGTCACATTTCTTTAGCTGTTTACCGTTGATGCCATGGACATAGTTAATTGCCCACCGGGCATCCATTCTCCACATCTTCTTCCTAACAGAACTCCAATTTGGTTTGGCTATTTACCCCTCCTCCCTTGAAGACCTATGCCTTAGGGGACATTGGCTCCACCCTCAGCTCCTGGGGCGCTCTGATTTGCCCAAATCTAATTCCATCCTCTTGCCAGTCTGCGCTCAAAAAAGGGCAAGGGCCCGGATCTCATCAATGAGACACAGGAGTTGGTTTTCTTTTCAGCTTTCTATTGAAGCATAATACACCCACAGAGAAGTGCCCACATCGTGGGCACAGTTTGATAAATGTTCACAAACTGAATATACCTGCGTAACCAGCACCCAGATCAAGAAGCAAAATATTACCAGTACCCAGAAAACCCTCTTCTCCTCCCTTCCAGTCACTGTCCTCTCAAGGGTAACCACTATACTGACTTCTTTTTTTTTTTTTTTTTTTAAAGATTTTATTTATTTATTTTTTTCCCCCCAAAGCCCCAGTAGATAGTTGTATGTCACAGCTGCACATCCTTCTAGTTGCTGTATGTGGGACGCAGCCTCAGCATAGCCGGAGAAGTGGTGTGTCGGTGCGCGCCCGGGATCCGAACCCAGGCTGCCAGCAGCGGAGCGCGAGCACTTAACCGCTAAGCCACGGGGCCGGCCCTATCCTGACTTCTAACAATGTAGAGGCATCTTGTCTGTTTTAGACTTTTCTATATAAGTGGAATCAAAGAGGATGGACTCCTTGTGTCTGGCTTCTTTTGTTCACATTATGTGTGTGTGAGACTCATCTTTCCTGTTGTGTGTAATTTACTTTTATTGTTGTACAATATTCCATTATGGAATAAGCCAAATTTATCCATTCTACTGCTGATGAGTATTTGTATTTGGCTGGTTTCCAGTTTAGGAGTATTACAAATTGTGCTGCTATGAACACAATTTAGTCCCTGTCTTTTGATGGACATATGTCTACATTTCTATAGGGTGTATACTGAAGAAGAATTGCTGGGCCAAAGAAAATGTGTATGTTCACCTCTAGTAGATACTGCCAAACAGCTTTCCACAGGGATTGCACCAATTTACCCTCCCATCTGCAGTGGATGAAAGTTCCATGTCCTTGTCAACACATGTCTCTCTTCTTCATGGTTACCATTTTGTTCGGGGTATAGAGGAGATTCGAGGAGTTTTGCTGTGGACTTCAAGTTATTCCTTTTCCTTTAGAGAGAGCTATATAAAGCCAGCCAGTTCTCCCCATGAATGCAAATGAGAAGCAATAGCCCAAATGATTATTAGCAGCCAATTGCTACCCAGTTAAAGAGAAAGAACTTGATGACATCATTAAGCTTCTGGATCAACAACTCAATCCATTACCTTATTGTTTAGGCTGGTTGCTTTGGTTTTTCTGTATCTGTATTGGAAAGCATCTTTGTTATCTTCATAAAGCACGTGAGCCTTGCAACAACCTCGCCTCATTTTTCTGATGTGGAAACTGATTACCATAAAATTTGATGATTTCTCCAAGGCAAGGCAGTTAGCAAAGCGTAGAGTTGGGACTAGAATCCAGGATTTCAGATGCCCAGCCTACTGCTTTTCCATCCACCCCATGATGGCTCCCCCTTTCCTAGAAGGCAGCATGACTGTCATCTCTCATTTTGTGAAAATGACTGTGAGTCCTTTGATCACATAGCTGCCGTTTTTCATTGATGCCAAATTACGTAGCTAATATGCAAATAGCCATGCCAGCTAACGAAAGGGCCAACCATCTTCGGAAAATGGAGCATTAACAGCTGTCTCCTTGCTGGGCCTGTTATAAGGAAACTGTTAGCCACATGAGGTGAGCCCCCAGTCCTCCAGGGAAAAAGGATTGGTGTCTTTTAGTCATAAATCGCTAATGAGGAAACGAAGATGGTGAGAAGAGTAGCAGCAAAAATTATAGTAGCAAGTTTATCTCCCAGCTAGACAGATGCAGGAGCTGTAACTATCAGCTTTCTGACTTAGAAATCCAAGAGTATTTCACTCTTGGGTTTTGTAAAGGTATAATTTTGTAAAGGTACAACTCATTGATATAAAAATTCAGTGGAGCAGTAGAAGATAGTTCAGTGACCTAAAACATCTCCTCACTAGAAAATAGTCTTTGTGATTCAGCCTAACTGCTCTGCCAACACACAATATTGTAAAGCATTCTGCGGTCAACTTGTTCTCATGGCAGAGGGCTAGAATTCATCACCGTCCCCTTCCAACCATGGTGAATTTGTCTTCAGGATCTAACTCAACTAATGAAGTTGCTCCTGCAGCAAAGATTCAAATGCTTACTGTGGACAGGCAGCCAAACTGCTCATGTCACTTCCCCCACTTAAAACCCTCCAATGGCTTCACGTTGGAATTCTAATGAAATCTATATTCCTTTTTTGTGTGTGTGAGGAAGATCAGCCCTGAGCTAACATCTGCCAATCCTCCTCTTTTTTTTTTTTTTTTTTTTTTTGCTGAGGAAGACTCGCCCTGGGCTAATATCTGTGCCCATCTTCCTCCACTTTATATGGGACACCGCCACAGCATGGCTTGACAAGCGGTGAGTCAGTGCGTGCCCGGGATCCGAACCGGCGAACCCCGGGCTGCCGCAGCAGAGCACGCGCGCTTAACCGCTTGCACCACCAGGCCGGTCCCCTGAAATCCATATTCCTCAGTGTGGCCTTCAAGGCCCTATATAACTTCACCCTATCTCTGACCACTCTGCTCCAGACACGCTGGTCTTGTGTCTGTTCCTTGAACATACTATGTTTTTATGGCCTCTAGGACTTTGCGCTTGTCCTTTCTCTTCTGGAACTTTCCTCCCCAGCTCATTGTCTAGTGAACAAGACATTCTTTAGTTCTCAGTCAAATGTCACCTTTTGAGGCTTCCCTGACCACCACCTCTGTGGTCAGGGAAGTAGCACCCCCATGACTCTTTATCATGTCACTTGGTTTATTATTGTCCTACACTCACTGCACTATGCAACCACTTCTTTATTACCTACAAGCCCCATGACAGCAGGGGGTCTGTCTGTCTTGCTCATCGCTGGATCCTCAACACCTAGAACAACAGCAGGAACATAGCAGATGCTCAATTAACTATCAGTTGAATAAATGAATGAGTGAGTAAAGGATGATCCAATTGTTGATTGCCCAGCGATGTGGCTTTGTTCTCTTCTCTGCTACCTGAATTAAGACCATTTCACTATTCACTAGCTCTTTTGCCAAAGAAACGTCCCCAAGAAAATAAAATATAGAGGGGAAAAAAAAGAAAACAGAGCGGGGGAAATTAGTGGGAAATGAGATCTATAAACATAATTGGAACAAATAAAATAAGACATGAAACTATCTGTGGGTTTGCTTTTTACCATACTGTCAAGTGGCTGCATTAGACAGAGTGTGAGGCTCATCCAAAACCAACATCATATGATCTTGGGATTACTTTTTTTTTTTTTTTAATGGGCTTTTCAACTCAGTAATTGTGACCAACATGTTGTTCAGCAATACACTGCTGATTAGCCCCTGAGAAGCCACCGGGCTTTTGAAAAGAACTGATGATAAATGCAATACATGTTCTTCTGAGCATGTATATAAGACTATTAGCACAGGTGGGTTACACAAAAATGTCTACCACCCCTTCAAAGATAGCCACGCAATACACCTGCCATCCTTAAGCACAGAGTGGGTAAATCATTATCAGAGTCCTTGACTTTCAGAAACCTTCTGGTCCAAGGTTCCCATTTTACAGATGAGGAAGCCTGAAGTGCAGAGAGAGCAGGTAACTTTCTCAGAGTCACAGAGCTGGTTAGTAACAAAATCAATCCAGGCTCCAGCCTCCAGCCACAGATAGGGTCCTTTCATTACATCACAACACGCCAGGTAAGTCCAGCCATTGGCAAGGGACATACTTTCCCATTAGAACAGCAAAGCACAGGGAGGAAGCGGCAGATGCCCAGAGGCAGGGCTCTGCAGGTCCCCACGGCTCTCACCTTGGCCACAGGAGAGGGAGACAGAGGTGAACACAGACAAGCCCAAACCAACAGCTCCTTGGGGATGCTGATACATGGCTTCGCACAGCATCTTCCCGGAGGTGCCACTCAGCCCTGAGGCCGTCTGCCCCAACCCTCAGCAGCATCCCAGACTCAGAGATTTCCACCGAAGCCCAGGGGCCTGAGGACCTCAGAGGAGAGGCCAAGGCCCTCCCTACCGGCGCTGGGGGGGAGTGATCTCTCCCCAAACCAGGACTCAGCCAGGCCTGAGCCAAGCCCGTTGGAGCGGTAGGCATACGGAGGAGGGGGGCGGGGAGAATGACAGAAAGAGAAGGGAAAGAGGGAGGAGCAAAGCAGGGACAGTGCCCGTGGGTCCCTTGCTCGAGTTTGAGAATCTCGGCTCAGGTTTCTAGGGAATGGAAAACGGCTCTTCACCCCGGCTCCCGGATCTGCCCTTGATCCCCGGGATGCGAGCGCCGCAGCCAGAACCCGCGGATCCGCTCCCCCTCCCCAGCCTCCCCGCCCCTCCCGGGGCTCCGCGCTCGCCAGGAGCAGGGGGCGGCCGAGGGGCGGGAGCCCGCCAGGCCGGGGAGCGCAGCCCGGGTCCGGGACGAGGGCGGCGGGGGCAGCCCGAAGCCGGGTCTGCGCCCCCTCCGCGCGGCCCGCGCTGCCCTACCGGTAGTAGCGGTCATCCTTGAAAGGCGTGAGGTCCTCCCTCAGCTCCCGGTACGCCTCCTGCAGCCGCTTGCACAGGTGCTTGAGCTCGCTGCAGAGCGGGGGCTCGAAGGCAGGGTACTCGGCGTCCATGCCCGCGCCCGCCCGCCCTCCGGAGCCGAGCCCGCGTCCCCTCCTCCCGCCGCTCCGCCCTTTGTGCTGCTGCCTTCGCCCGCGCTCTCCTCCCAGCTCCGGATCGGGGGCTGCCGGCGCGCGGGGCGGGACCGCGGAGGAGGAGGAGCAGGCGGCGGGGGGCTGGGCAGGGGGCATTTTTGTGACTTCCACTG